CTGGTGTCTGTAGCTGCTGCTCTGACTTAATGGCATTTATAAAATGAGAATCTTTTTATAAAAGGAGACATCTGTGTCTAGAGGGGCTAATTGCTGGCTGAGAGAGCTGGAAGTCACTGTGGTGGCTTCTAGAGACAGCGCAAACAGGGCATTTGTGACAAGGACTTTGCAAAATAGCCTAAATTCCTATAATTTTTCCATATATATCATTGTTTTTATGCACAATTTGTAATTATCAGAAAAAATCTTAACATGAGAAGGGCCCAGGTTCTTATTTTGAGAGAATGACAAGAAAGGGTGATGATTATGAAGGAGGTGGGGAAGTGGGCAGGTATGGGGCATTAGAGCCTGTCATCAGCCAGAGGAAGGCCATGGGATACAGAACTGAAGAGCCATGGAAGGCTGACTGATTTCCTCTAGGCAAAACGGGAAGCCGGTGGCCAGGAGACAGACAGACAGTGCCTGAGAAGTGCCCCTGGGGACATGCACTCGTGAGGGATCTGTGGTTCTGTGACATTGAGTAGCAGTCTTAGAAAACCTGAATCAAGTAGACATATCGGAGGAAAGGCTCTCACAGGACGAGTAAGAGAGGAGAGTCCCGGGTGCACTGTGTGGTTGGTAGGAAGCAGAACCAAGCGATACCAATTGTAACAATCATTTTAAGCCTCTATCCAAAGAGGCTGCTCCTTCAAGAGCCGAGCTACTTACAACAGGCCTGCAAGCAAGAGAGCATGCGGTTCATAGGCACAGCCACTGAAAAATCTTTCTCAGTCGGAAGAGTACAGCCAGGACAGCTCCAGAGAGCACTGGGGAAGGACAGGGATCTTCTAATTCCTCCCTAGGAATCAGGAAATTCCCCCTGGGGACTTAGTTAGAAGCAGTCATCTGGGGCTGGCCAGACCAGTGGACAAATTTCTGCTGTTCTCATACAAATCGTTTCTTTGATGGCCTCATAGTCATTTGGGGGTTAGCAAGCACACAATGAGCTGCCCAGCAACAGGCAGTGTTTACCAAAAAAAAAAAAATAACAATAAATAATAATAGAAGATCAGATATTTTTACTTAGGTAAAATTTTATGTTTTCTAACAGAAGAAATCTGAACTCACAAACATTTAGTCATACTTCTTAAAATTTGGAAATATTTTAGTTTATTTGTTATGTGCTGAACCATTTAAAATTTTGATGTCATAAAATGTAAGATTTTAACATTTTACATTAGGTAGCCATAAAAATCATTATTTTATTCTGTTATAGGAATTGCTAATGCAGTATTTTTTATCATGGAAAAAAGAAAGAAAACCAGACGTTTTATGAGTATATCTAGTATTCACTCTTACCCCAACAATTCTAATCTAACAATGCTCTTCCTCATTAGTGAAATGAGGGAATAGCTACTTTCCCACATCCCATCCAACTTGGTCCTTCTTTGACTCAGTGACAGTGTATACAGGGTTTGCTGAATACGGTTATGTGCACTGATACAAGGCCACTGGTGTGGGTAGGGGTGATCGTCAAGATATTTAACATGTGCCACACTCTGCACTAATGACTTCTAGCTGAATATTACCTTGGATGTGGGCCGCCCACCATGACTCAAGGTCTGTGTTATTGACAGGAAACTGACACTGTTTCTTGGATTTAAAGTATTTCACAACATTTAAGCATGTATTTTCATTATTCCTGGATCCTGATAAATGCAGTTTCAGAGATCACAGCCTTTGGCTATTATTGCCTATGGTACTTTTAGTTATACTTTAAAAAAAAAAACCTAAATATTTCTGGGGATCAATAATGTTACCCAGTTATTATATTTTAAAACATCCACCAAAAAGACAGAAAAATAGTCAAAGAAAAAAATGGTCTGATAAGAAGATAAACATATTCTGAAAATACCCACCTTCTGCTAATGCATGCACACAAAGAATGAAACACGCCACAGGCTTCCATTGGTGGATCCCACATAAGCCAATTTGGGCAGAAACCGGTAAGCAAGTTGGCTGATTTGTTACTAGTAGCATCTTTAAAAGGAAAGCATAATGAAGCAAATTCTATTTTATTACTTCATAGAACGGTGAGGCAAATTGGGGTATGTGTAGCACTGTAAACCTTTGCTTAGTCTATGGGGTAGCAGCACCTTACACCTGCTGGAAACACGACAGAGAAGAGGAGCCATCGAGCCACTGTCCCTGGCCTTTGAGGACCTCTGTAATCTCCAGGAACCCCCAGAACATTTACATATATATATGTAATTAAATCTAGTTACAAAATAATTATAATTATTTAATTATAATGTAAGTATAATGTAATCTGATTCACCGTAGCTCATTTGAAAGCAAAAGAAAAGTGAACAAATAGGAATCAAAATCTCCCATATTAGTACCAGTCAGTGGAACTGAGCAAGATTTCCTTCCAGCCGTTTTGCAGGCACCAGCATACATGCTTGAGGTATAAATTTACTTCCTGCTTCCTCTTAACTTTATATCATAAGATTTCACCTGCTGTGAGTTGGGAATTTGGGGTTTTATAGAGGATTAACGTTGGTTTATAAGAAATCTACTGACATGTTACAGGTATATACATGTGTGGATACACATGTAATTACTTTTTATCCAATTTGTTAATTTCCTAATAATTCTAAGTTTCCCACGTTTTTTTCCTCCCTTAGGTTTTCTATTTAGACAACTTTATTGTTTCCAAACTACTCTTTTCTTTCTCCTTTTTAATATTTAAGTATCTTATTTTTCTTTGCCTAAAACTTTTAGAATAATGAGAAATGCTAAAAGGAAAGAAGGCCATTGCTTTCTTGCTCCTGATTTTAGTAAAAATATCACTACTACTTTACCATTATGAGTAGTACAGGCTTGCAGTGGATATGCCCTGTTACATAAGGTGGTGTACTTCCATTTCAAGTAACTACAAGGGTTTGCTCTTTTTCCTTTTTACTCTATGTCATGAATGGATGTAGACATTTATGCATTGCCTTTTAGAAAATTGTTCTCTTTTTAACCAATTAATATTCTCTAATATATTAATAGATTTACTAATGTTAAATCATCCTCTCGTTCCTATAAAATCTATTCGATAATGGTGGGTTTTATTTATTGTTAGGATTTTTGCATACATGTTGTCAAATGAGGGTAGTGTGGAGTAACTCCTCTTTTTCTATTATCGTGACATTTTGGCATCAGGATTTGCAAACTTTGAAAAACAAACAGGAAAGTTTTTATTTTTTCTAAGCCAGGGGAAGTTCTTATGACATGGAAATTATCTTTACATTGACAATTTAAAATAATTTTTATATAAGAACAATAAGCTTGGAGCCTAAACATGAAAGGACTTTTTTTTACAGTGTTTGTTCTTTTTTCTTTTCTTTTTTTTCTGTTTTCAGTTGTAACTGGTTTATTTGGTTTGGAGACAGTTCTTGAAGCAATTATTCAAATACAGAAGCAGGTAGTATTCCACGATTATTTGAATTTATTTTTGGTCTGTGGGTATCCTGACTTTTTGGTTTCTAATTTTGTGTGCCTTTAAATTTTTTTCTTCCTTAAGTATGCCAGAGATTTATTTTATTTCTTTGAAATTTTTGTTTGTTTTTTGATTTTTACTTTTAATTATAAATTGACAAATTATAGTTGTCTATAATTCTGGGGTACGAAGTGATGTTGAATTTATGAATATAATGTGGAATAATTAAATCAAGCTAATTAACATAGCCATCATTTGAAATGTACTTTCTTAGTAAGTTTGAAATGTGTGATACATTATATTTACTATATTCACCGAGCTGTGCAATATATCTCAAAGAAAAAATCTTATTCCTCCTGTCTAGTTGAGACTTTGCACGCTTTAACCATCATCTCTCTACATCCCCCACCCCAGTCTCGGGTAACCACCCTTCTACTCTCTGCTTCTTTGAGTTCGGTTGTCTTAGATAGCACATTTAAGTGAGGATATGTAGTATTTTTCTGTGCCTGGCTTATTTCACTTAGCATAATATTCTCCAGTTCCACCCATGTTGTCACAAATGACAAAATTTCCTTCTTTTTTAAAGCTGAATAGTATTTTTTTGTGCATATATACCACTTTTTTTTAATACATTCATCTGTTGATGGGCTCCTAGGGTGATTCCGTAAGTTGGATATTGTGAATAGTGTTTCAATAAACATGGGAGTGCAGACATCTGTTCAATATACCAATTTCAAATATTTTGGGTAAATACCCAGAAGCGAGATTGCTGTATCATATAGTAATTCTATTTTTAATTTTTTGAGATACTGCCATACAGTTTTCCATAATGGCTGAGCTAATTTACATTTCTACCGGCAGTGTACAAGGCTTACCTTTTCTCCATAGCCTTGTCAAGACTTATCTTTTATCTTTTTAATAATACCCATTCTGACAGGTGTGAGGTGATATCGCATTGTGGTTTTTTTTTTCTTTCTCTTTTTTTTATTTTAGCATATTATGGGGTTACAGATATTTAGGTACATATGTTTCCCTTGCCACATTGTGGTTTTAATTTTCATTTCCCTAATGACTAGTGATTAGTATTTTTCATATATCTGTTTCTTTTAAAATAGATTTCTAAGGACTTATAATAAATTCTTGTGTTCCTTTCTGTTTTGCTATTTTTCATTTTTACTTTTAACATTATTTTTTCCTCAAATCTCTTCATCCAGGTCCTCCATATAGGACCTGGGAGGACCTCATTAGTTGATTCTAGGGAACAAAGGAAGAAAGGACTTATGTATCTTTCACAAGGAGAGGGAGGAAGTTCAAGGTAGTGGTGGCATCGGGCACCTCACATGGGAGTCAGGTAAGAATACTGAGGTGAAGACAGAGTTAGTGAGTGAGTATCAACTGAAAAGTGAGAAAATACCCACTAGGACACTTGGAAATTTACCCAGGGTCAATGAAAGTGAGTAAATATATTTTTATTGAATAACTAAATTGGGATAACTGATTAATTCCCCTTTGGAATGTTTTGTTACAGGAACTCATGGACCCAGAATCTGGGGCCAATGGAACAGCCATTACTGAGTTTATCCTGCTGGACTTGGTGAAGACACCGGGGCTGCAACCGGTGATCTTTGTGCTCTTCCTCTTTGCCTACTTGGTCACAGTCGGAGGCAACCTCAGCATCCTGGCTGCCATCCTGGTGGAGCCCAAACTCCACACCCCCATGTACTTCTTCCTGGGGAACCTATCGGTGCTGGATGTTGGGTGCATCAGTGTCACTGTTCCCTCAATGTTGACTCATCCCTTGTCCCACAGGCGTACAGTTTCCTACAGAGCCTGCCTCACACAGCTCTTCTTCTTCCATCAGTTGGCTGGGGTGGACTGCTTCCTATTGACCGCCATGGCCTATGACCGATTCCTGGCCATCTGCCGGCCCCTCACCTATAGCATCCACATGAGCCAGACGGTCCAGAGGATATTGGTGGCTGTGTCTTGGACTTGTGCCTTCACCAATGCACTGACCCACACTGTGTCCATATCTACACTCAACTTCTGTGGCCCCAATGTGATCAATCACTTCTACTGTGACCTCCCACAGCTCTTCCAGCTCTCCTGCTCTAGCACCCAACTCAATGAGTTGCTGCTCTTTGGTTTGGGTATCCTCATGGCAGGTGCACCTGTGATTCTCATTGTGACCTCCTATATCCATGTGGCAGTTGCAGTCCTGCGAATCCGCTCTACGGAGGGCAGGAAGAAAGCCTTCTCCACGTGTGGCTCCCACCTCACTGTGGTGGGCATCTTCTATGGGACGGGTGTCTTCAGCTACATGAGGCTGGGTTCAGTGGAGGCTTCTGACAAAGACAAAGGGATTGGCATCCTCAACACCGTCATCAGCCCCATGCTGAACCCGCTCATCTATAGCCTTAGGAACCCTGATGTCCAGGGCACCCTGAGGCGCGTGCTAACAGGCAAGAGAGCCCTGGAATGAGGGTTGTCTCAGGAGGGTACAAACTCTGGCAAGTGGTCCTTGTCTTAGATCCTTGAGCAGGATCCCTGTCTCTCCTAGATCCTTGAGCAAGAGATGACTTTCGTTAGGAAGTAAGACTTTTGTTCTCCACAGAGGCTCTACCTGACAATAGGTGCACAGGTTGTGTAGACTAGACCCCTTGGCTAGATGCCATTTGGTCCTAGGAACCTTTCCTAGTCCAGAAGGAAGTAGGACCCTGGAAGCTCTGTGTCCTGGGAGGCTCATGGGCCTACAGGAAGAACATTTTGTTTCTTTTTCTGTCAGGGTCTCCCAAAATACCAGCAAAGATTCTCTCTATATTAGAATATGGAAAGTTATAGCCTGGTGCCAAGTATTAGCACATCCTGCAATGAGGCTTCTCCTTAAAGCAGTTCCCCCCACCTGCTTTCCCACAGCATCCCCCCACCTGACCTCACATAATGATCCAGACCTAGTAGAATATAATTCAAGACACTGATTTCCAGTAGCCTGTCTACATTTCAAGGTTCTAAGGTATTTAACAATGGAGAATTTACATTTCCTTTGGTATTTTCCCTTTTCCTAAAATGGAAATAGTCATCGATTTTTAAAATTTTCATTAGAATTATGTTTATGAAAATGAAAACAAAACAAAACGTTGCCAGTGGAAAATTAAAGTTAAAATCTTCACTCTCTCTGTCTTCACTCTTCATAATTCAATTCTCCAAAAGTAACCACTGTTAAGAATTTGGTGCTTATCCGTCTAGTTTTTTATATACATATAAACATGTTTATATGTTTTTGTATCAATACAAACATGTTTATGTACATTTCACATCAGTAGGGGTATGTTATGTCATCTTTTTGGTTGCACAGTATATGGTAGACTTTTCCTGTCAATATCTAAAAACTTACTTTATCTATTTTAATGGCTACCTAGCATTAATTTATGAGAAAACCATAATTTATTTAACTATATTCCTTTTGCTGGAGTTTTTATTGTTTCTAGATTTACTGCAATTACAATCAATAATATAAAAAACTTTCTTTAGAGATGTTGTTTCTAGTAATCTGCAAACATGTCCATAAAGTAAGTTTTGAAGGCCGGGCGCGGTGGCTCACGGCTGTAATCCTAGCTCTGGGAGGCCGAGGCGGGCAGATTGTTTGAGCTCAGGAGTTTGAAACCAGCCTGAGCAAGAGCGAGACCCCGTCTCTACTAAAA